GAGAAACACGAAACTTTGAAATATATGAACGAAATGTTTTCTTTTCCTTCTTTTCGCGCTGAACGGACTTGAAAATTGAAAAGTTAAATAGAAATCAGTTATATTCGTTTTTCTGTATTTTTGTGTTAAAAATTAGATTTAGACGCAATTTCCTTAAAAGAAAGGAAAAAGAAAAACAGCGAGAAAAAATATACTTGTTTACTTGTTTACGCTGTAAGATTGCGTTATAGTGTTTTGCCTCTCATTATCACGGTTTTATCGCACTATCGCGAGGAATTTTCAGCGCGTTGAAAGGTTGAATAAAAAACTGTAGCTTATGATAGAAAAATATGCAGCGACGTAGATCATAAATGTAAAGTGACTTAAACTCCTGTCAAAAACTTTGTTTTGATACAACTTCGCTTTCTCCGCTTTGATACAAGCTCGCGCTATGAAAATTTCATCGCATTTAAATTTGTTTATAGCTCGTCGTACAATATAAGATAGATTCGGATAAATTGACGTGAAAGCAAAATGTGCATTGTATACGTAGGATAAAAAATAATTTGATGTCGAGTTAATTTAAGCAGCCAATTTAACGCTCGATTATCTTCTTATTATTCGGTTCTTCTCAACCGGCAGGAAATTTCGTAATATATATTATGAATGCGACGGTTAACGTCGTCCGCGTGTGCCCTACAACGACCTCCTTTCTTGTGTCTTTGTGATTATGAAACCTAATTTAAAGCGTTCCGCAGGGATCGCCTTGCGGTCACTTTGAAGGCCGGCCTCTGCGACCGTTCCCCAAAGCACCGATCCTCTTTGCCGGCGCTGTTCGCCGGAAATCTGAGCAAGCCGCGAACGTGCGACCCTTTTGAAATTCACGGCTTGTCGGATCCAGTGTTGACTCATTTACAATGTGGTTGGCTAATGTCGCCGGTGACGTGCCGCATGCAGCTCGTACCACATGCAAATGCTTAATCCGCATGCTGATTCGCTGCGGCCGACGCCGAATTGCATCGTCGCTCGCTCCCCTAAGAAGTCCTGTCGCTGTCAGCTAATTCGCGACTGTCCCCCCCTCCCCCCTCTCCCGGCCACGGGAGAACGAACCCGGTGCGGTCGCGTTGGAAAATTACCCGGGTCCGAGGAAATATCCTCTGAATTATTTACCGAGAAATATTGTGGAAGTCGGGCGGAGAGCTTTCTGCGAGACCACCCGAGCGCGCAAACGTCGGTTCAAATTTTCACACTCTTTGGGCAGGATCTTCGCCACGCCGCGCCCGGTGTGCGGCGCAAACATCGTCGCAATTATGCGCATAATCTTTATAAACCGCGGATGACTCGCGCGCACTCGGCGTCATGCGAACCGCAAATTATTCTCCGCTTCTATTTATTTGTCTATTTCCGGACGAGCTCAGCGAGTGCAAATGCGGCTAAGGATAAATTGGTCTTAGGAAAACAGGAATTAACTTTGCAGGCCTGATCCGCTCGCGCAACCGGTAAACTCCGTCCTCGAATTCTGCAGGGGCGTTCGCGATCCCGCGGCGGCGCGAGTTACCAACACTTTGCGCGCGCTAGTTCGCCGAGTGCTGACTGATTTATAAGTACCTCTTGCACAATCAATCGAGTGGAATGCCCCATTTGGAACGCGGTGCGGAAAAGGTCGACCCTGTTTCCATTTCTGAATTATGTATGGGAAAGTGCTGTGTACACGTCATGAATGAGATATATGCCACTGGCCGGACGTTCTATATGACGATGTTGTTAATATTACGGGGAGTCGTTCGTGCTAATTCAAATATCCTTCCGCGGGACGCGTTTATATTTGCCAAACACAGCAGTGCGGCGATCCGTTTGGCTAATAAAAGTTTTCGTTAAGCGTGGAATTGGAAAACATGTCGAGCGCACATTGAGTACTCCGAAAGATATATGTACTTACGTTTTTTAGAAACCCTTGATAAAAATTTTATTCACCGAGAGATTCCATAGTATTTAAGGTGGAGAGCTTTCTAAAAGCACTCAGCCTAGTCTCATTTAGTCGCATCTTCTTGCCGCGTGTAAATCTGGTGTTAGGGGCATTGTTCGCAGCCGGACGTGCTCCTTTTTCTCGTTCGTCTCAGTTTTAATTTCTTTAGTGTAATGTTCTAATTTCCTTAGAGTAAAAAGGTCCTTGTGTCCTTGGAAAGAAAATGTTGCGACGAGAAAACCGATAGAAAAAAGACTGAGAACCAAAGCGCGGGTGTAAACAAATTTATTGATTACAAATCAATGCAGAATAATGATACAGAAACGTTTCAGTTCAATTTTTGAGAGCCCTCTTTAGTCCAGTAGTCACTGCCGCGCAGCATTTATGGTTACAACCCGATCAGATTGAAGAGAGCTCGAAAATTTGACTGAAATATTTCTGTATCATTATTCTGTATTGATTGTAATAAATTTTTTGCGCCCACGCTTTGGTTCTTGTAGCATTTTTTTTCTATTAGTTTTTTGTTATTGTAGAATCATACATCACATTGTTGTGTGACGAGAGTTAAGCAAGTTATCCGAAGATAACGACGATAACGTGTATCACTGACGTGCATTATGAAATGTGCCATCTCAATTAACGCAATAGAGTATCCAATATCGTTGGAGAGCAAAGCACAAATTCTGCTTGATTATTCAGTAGTTCCTCCGAATCGAAAATTAAGTGAACTCGGTTAGACTGATATTCTGATTATTTCATCTCGTCGAGAATGGAAATGTCGCGATCACTCGCGGTTGCGAGATACAATTATTCAGGTATTCTGTAATATTCGCAAACGAAGTAGCACTTCGCTGCCGAGTAATTTTAGAAAGTAATTTCGGTTCAAACGTCGCCGGAAAGTTCGTGGCGGAGCTGACATTGCTCAGTTAAGAGCCGAGTCCAAGATCTCAGTTCGTGAAAATGATTGCGAACCGCCTCCTTTTGTCTCCGCACGAATCTTCCGCCGGAAGAATCGAGTCTTCCCGGCGGCTCCCGCCACGCGCGGTTGTTAACAATACGGCCGTCGTCCGGGAAGTTCCGGCGTTTTCCCGACTTCCCTTCTCTTCGGGGAAGTTCAGGCAGACCCAATATCTCCCTCGCGGTGACAAATGTCATTGAGTCCTTTGGCACTTTCCCACTCGTCGCACTTCGGCTTTGCCGAAGTTCGTGGCCGACTTAAGGACCGGCGAGTTCCGTCCTTGGCGAGATGGAAAGAACGACCCGCGATAAATAATGTCTTTTTTTTTGGCTTCGAGCTTTATGGCGTGGAAAATCGTTTAATTTACTTAGAATTCTCGAAGAAACGCATTTCGAGAGATCCGACGGTGATGAAGTTGGTGGGCTCGGATTACACGCGAAATTGCGACCGCGTTCCAATTTTTTTACACCGCGACCGCCGCGATCTCGACGTGATCTCTCTTTCGCATCTTCCCAAACATTTTCCCCGAATAATTTCCCAACTTATCAAGAAAACCCATCAAGACCCGAAAGTTTCCAGAGGAAAATATATGTCGGTCCCGTAAACAAGCTAACATGCTTCGCTACAGACAACTTTCTGGGAACTCGCTGGGAAATCTTCAGCGACCATCGATATTTTCTTCAAACTCGCTGATATAGATTCGTCGTTTATCAATCGCTCTGACCTAATTTATTTTCGATTGAAATTGAAATTCTCCATTAAAAAAGTTGCGAGTTAACCGCTCGGAACAGCTCGGGAATATGTTCCACGAGCATTTCTCGTTTTTTTTTTTCTTTTATCGTTTGATATCGAGTTAACAACGTTAATACGACGATAAAGCCGGAATTTAACATTTGCTGATAATTTACGCTCTATGAGTATCATTTGCATCTCGAATCGATACGGTTGCTCGTGTGTATAAAAGTACAACTAGACGATAACGCTGATTGGAAATGCGTTGAAAATAATCCGTACTGCCGATATTTCATCGTTCATTTTTTACATTCAATCATAGCTATTTTGGTAAAACTGCATTACAATCTTCCTTTGAAGCGCTGGATAAATTTCAAATCTAGATTTATTAGAATTCTTTTTGCAAAGTAATTTTTTTTAGATTAGAAATTGTTTTTTTTTTTTTCTCTGCTATTTCCCGTCAGTGTGTAGCGCATGAATCTTTTGATGTTGCGATTATCCATTATTTTCGCGGCGCTACGAGAATTAAGAGAGAGAAGAAATGGAGCGATATGCAAAATCGTGAAAAATGGTACAACGTTCTGTATTCTGATGCAGATTCTTTACACTGTATTCTAGTGCTATCCGCGAACCGGTTATTCACCTCCTCTCGACGCGTAATTCCGCTCCTCTGACAGCAACATGTTTATCGCAAAATGTATGCATTGTACATCTGAAGGATATTCAGAAGTATGCAAAAGGAGAGGTATTTTGTAGAGCTGCCCTTTCCCAGTCGCGCACTCGGTATTCTTCAAATATACACGTAAACGGAAAGTCACGATATCGAAAACGGACGCATGAATCATTTAAGTTGTCGTCCAGAAATTCAACAAGCAGACTGAAGTAGAGACATTTTATGCGAGAGATGTTTTTTTTTTTAATGCAAAAGCAACCTACTTACGTCTCATTGAAAATGCAAAATATTAGAAATGCAAATAGCTGCACATCGACCGCATGCTATCCCGAAGCGGTGATTTATAGAGGAATCGCATCACGCACAGGCGGGCCGGATGTCTCACCTAAACGCTGCGTACAGTCGAACTGCGAGCGTATTTTTCGCTACAAATGTGCTTCGATCGTTAATCATTTCTGTATTATTGCATTACTGCATTGTTCGGCTTGGCGGGGCGGTCGGGGAGAAGCTTAAAACAATGCGCTCCGAGAACAGAGGTAATCAATCTTACTTTAGCCTAAGTATCGTATATTAGCGTTGGTTGGCCCACATTGTATTTCGCCTGGCGCGAAATTGAACTAATTGCAATTAATAACTCTCCGTGAATACATCCGAGTACTCATCCCTCTCTCCCCCTTCTTACCTGATTGCAGGCATCAGTTCTACTTGCACTCCCGCCTTGAGCTGGTGGAGAGTAGATTAAAGGTCTCGGATTGGGGCTCCGTGGCCCGTCTGGTAGCACTGATAGCGCAGGCCGATGGCGGTGATTATGATGCGCTATCTCCGCCCCATGCACTCTACTCACAATGCTGTCATATACAGCCCGCGGAGCCGTGCGAGCCGAAACCGCAAGACTTTCTACTCCGGATAATTCAGCAGCACAAAGAAATTAAGGTTCGAACATCTTGAGAAATTATATTAATTTGATCCACCGTAAACCTAAGCTTGATAAATACTATATGAACTTTTATTTCAAATTTGCATACTTTGCACAATACAATTTTGTAACAGTATTTTAATATTTCCGTAACTCTGTATTTAAAGCAAACTATTTTTTTGTTGTTTTTTTTTTTTTTTTTCTTTTTTTAGAACAGAGAGTTTAATTTTGAGAATTTTGTTTTAGCTCGAATATTTGTACAATCGCGCTTTTAATAGAAAATACATGAATAGTTGGTTATATTTCTAGATGTATTTTTCGCAATATAAAAATTTGGAACAAAATCCTTTTTTACGATAACTGAATATTGTTACATGAATTGCGTCAAACGATCTGTATAGCTGACAGATGTATGTGAATTTTTAGGGAATGAAAACTTCAACCGCTGAATATTGGCTATTGAAAGAAATATCCAATCTTGACACATTTGGCCAGGAAATGTTTCATAGTAAATTTGGATATAACGGAGTGTCTATGATCGGCGTTGGTCCACATGGGATTACGGTCTACCGCAATCAGGACGAAGAGATACAAAAGTAAATATGCATTAATTAATATATATTTCATATCCACGCAAGGTAAATTTGAACTCGTAATCAAAAAATAATTTTTCGTAATTTAATCGCTTTTGACAAAAAAAAAATGTAGATTGACCGAATTTAATTCTGTTAAACAATATTTTTAATCATGGAAAATGTAATATATTGAATTAAATAGAAAGTTATGTTATTAAATAAGTATCTTTATGTATTAATTAATTAATTAAATTAAAATCGCGTTTCCTCCTGTATTTATCAACGTGAAGCTAATTTTAATGTCGCCTGTTGACGTTAGGAGACGGCACGTCCCGGTTGTCGCACGTTGTACCATCCGTCGAGATAATTATTCAACAGATAAACTATTATTGAACTTTATTATCAATCCGCGCATTATATAAAATATTGAAGTCGCGGTTTATCAATACAGCCGCGAAAATAATTCATAGAAAATGTTTACGTGCGTAAAGATTATAAATTTTCCAAGCTCTTACCTCATCCATTATGCAGAAGGGGATTAGCATTAAAATTTTACTTTACTTTTACCACACGGTTCAATTTATTATACGATGTATTATGTATTGCGTTATAGCATACCGTATACAGCTATACAAAGCGCTACGTCACAACGACGGATGTTCCACTTGGTTTATCTTTCACTCGACGGCGAGGAGACGTCGTTGGACTTTAAGTTAGATTCGAGCCAATCTGCCAGCGGACTTTATAGAGCGATCACCGAGAAACATGCATTTTACAGCTGCGAGACGGTTAGAAGCGCAGTCACTGCGCAGTTTATCCGCGATTTGAAGGTACTCGAGACAAATTTAGTTTATACTAACACGAATGTACGACCAATGCGACCTATGCAAATTACGCATTGATTGTATAAAAATAATGGAGATTTTCAACTTGAGAAAATTTGTCAAAAATTCTTTTCCATATTATATCTTTATTAAAACATCTCCAATTTGATGAATGCAATTTCTATTTTAATACCCTTTTCTTGCCGCTATTGCGGAATTAAATATAATTTTTCCATATTTAAGAATTCTTGCGATCGAGTGCAAAAGCACGTAATTAACAGGCAACATTGCTTTGCGCAGGGGACAATAATTTCCATCTTCAATGAAGACTCAACCCTGGGCAAGAAATATGTGTTTGACATACGCAGGACCTGCCGGGAGGTCTATGACAATGCGCGGCGTGCGCTTTATTGCGAGGCGTCGACCATAGCTCTGCCAGACGAGAATGAAATTCTCGAGAGGCACGCGTGCGGGGAGTGCGAGAATCCTAAATGCAAGGTAAGCGATAAATCCATCCTGCCTAATAATCGGAGGACTCGTTACTGTATTGTTGATACGAAGTAATCCGTACAATCTGTATAATGTTCCGCGAAATTTCAGGAATCCCGGGAATGTCTGGCGAGATTGCTGGACGCGATGCTCTGTCGGATCTGCATGGATCGAAGCCTGGACACCGCCTTGTTTCCCTGTGGACACGCTGTGGCCTGTTTGGATTGTGCTCGTCGTTGCGAACGTTGCCCATTGTGCCGGGCCGACATCGACTATTGCCGGACGATATACCTCCCGATCGAGCTGACGCACATCGACAAGCACAATCCCAAGCTGCTGTCGGAGACGATTGAGCCTGTATTTAGCAAGCCGCTGACGGAGGAAATAAAGGAGCGGATTTTGGACAGCGAAACGTCGGTGAACAGTAACATTTGAGAGCGCCGAGTCAAACGCCGGGTTGGCGCGTTCGAAAGGTTTTTCAGAATTGTTACTTGCCGTGCGGAAAGGGCGTACTAAAGATATGAGAGTAAAGCACTTTTCTATTTACCCATCGAGTGACAAATGTCTTTCAACGTTCGTGGGCTTCATCACGCGACGATATCGTTGAATCCGATTGTCGAAATCTTTATTTCGCGCCGGCTTCAATGACATGCAATTGTGTATTTTTTTTTATTTGTTTATATATATTTTTGTTATTTTACATTATTTTAGTTTTTTCACTTCAATTTTTTATTTGCCTCTTTAAAAATGATATCATTATCACTTAAGATTGTTATAATTGTTTTTTTTTTTATCATCAACACGATTGTTAAATATGCTTAAATCCAACATCATTGGCGCCATTATTCTTCTATTTTAAGTACTTTTATCACGAAACACTTTTTATGCAAGAAAACCGTACATTAGTTTTAATTGCCCCTTAGTGAAAATTAAAGTTTTTAAAGTTTTAACTTTTTTGGTTACTTGGCCAAAGAAATATGTTAACAGTAATAGTTTTTTAAGCAAATCTTTTTGATAATTAACGAACAGGGTGAAACAGAATGGTCTGAAAATCATGAAATTGAAAAATGATTTGATGGTACTGTGATTTAAGATGATATTGGGAAAGCGCACGAGAATATCGTGGATGAATCCGATAATTGAATCAGATTACATCGTTGTCTACATATTTGTAATGATGTTACAAATAGTCCCTTTAATCGAGCGGCTGAAAAGTGCTATTAGCAGCATGAATCTATAAGAAATAGTGCTGCCGACGTGCGTGAACAAAGATATAATCTATATTAAGACAAGATCCACTTTGTGAGTAGATTTTTATTTTCAACAGATGATCGGACCAATACTTCCTTTGTTATTTCATGATCTTTCTCAACGCTTTTGTTCCTTTTAGATTATACGCTTTTTTGGTCATATATGTTTACTCTGATCTAGATAACACTCGCAGGTTACTTAGGTCGGGACTTTTATCGGAATCAGTGACCCAGCATATTTTTACTACACATTATTTACTCATTACGCAGATGCGATGTCGTTTACAAAATAAGCGCTATAATACAGCCACTTCTAACAGATATTTCGATGAAAGAAAATTCGCATCAGATTTATATACATATTTGGTTTGATCGCGATCTTTATGTGCGACATAGAATGCGTAAGTATTATGTACTGCATTATTATTCTATAAATCGTAAATCGTAACGATAAAAGTAACATAATATGGACATCACATTTAGATAATATTGTGGATCTATTTTTATCGTAGTGGAAAATGTAGAAATTAAAATATGTAATTATTGCAGAATTGTTAGTCAGAAGCGATTCCATGCGAGTTACATCCTACTTTTTTTTTTCTTGCTGAAGTATCCTATATGCCGAGAGAGGAAACTTTATTACTATAATATCTGTTTATATATGTACATAAGAAATGAGATAACCCGCAGCAATAGGGTCAAGTAAGTAAAAGTCATAAGTTCACCAAATGTCAAATCTGATTTAACATACTGTTGCGTACGTCATTCTTCAAGTAAGTCATAATAAAAGCGAAATCAGTTAATTGTCTGTGCTTTGCACCGAAAAGATAAGTCGTGGAAAAAGTCAACGGCATTTCATGTCCAAGGAAACACGAAGGAAGGCCATTTCTGAATAAAAATTGCACACGTTCCCGCCTAAATTGTGTATCCTAAACCGATAGTAAAAAAAAAAAAATCAAGACATTAACCTTCCTTTTTGTTTTCGGCTAGTGAGAGTCTCGAATGCAAAATAGCCTGTAAGGGAGTTACGTCTAACATCCACTAGTAGCATTCTGTGAACTTTGTATGCGTGATGAAAAGTGATAGAGAGTGAGAGAGATTAGAGAAAATGTGAAAATAATGATAATCGTTATAGTCATTCATCAATGCAAAGTAGACTTAGTTTATAATTATTTATAAGAATTAATAGTCTGTTTACATGCCGCTATATTTAATGCCTTTGAAGAGACTCTCCTTGCTGCCACGGTGTGACCTTCTTCCGATTGAAATGCAGATTTTAATATTGTATACCGTAGAGCAGTTTGTGGCATCTTTAGCTCATGTCATATTGGTGTGCGTTTCGTCGGAAGCGAGGCTACACCGTTTCTACGAGTGTAGAGTGTCGATTTGAGTGATTTACTTTTTTTTTTTTTTTTTAAGATGTAATGTGCAAACGAATATACGCATATAAAAGTACATTAAGTCTAACTCGTGTTTATGCAATTCAATGCAATGCTACAATAGACCGTCGCTATCACAAACAGAATGAAATAATTCTGCTGTGAAATTCCATTAACTAAATATACCGTGCGATATTTAAACAGTGATAATTATTTTCGGTAACTATCTCATAATTCTATTCACGTTCTTCAAAAAAAAAAACATAGCGTTTTGCAATTGCAAATGTGAAAAACAGAATAACTTTGTACCACTACTGCGTGTCAATAGGTTATAAGATTATTAATAATGACAACAACAATAACACTTAATACATATTACGAATAATAATTTCTTGTGATTAAATCTCTGTATAAAAGTGCATAAAATAATTCAAGATATTGTAGCAAGTAGATCTGTATGGTAGAGAAACGGAAATAATCCGGAGAGAGAGAGAGAGAGAGAGAGAGAGAGAAGAGAGAGAGAGAGAGAGAGAGAGAGAGAGAAAGCAAAAAAGAGAGAGAGAGAGAGAAAGAAGTGTATTTCTAAAAGTTATCATTTGCAAAGAGTATTTTTAAAGTATTTCCAATTATTTTTTAGTATTATATCAGAATTCCAACCGGTGAAACGGTGGAAATAACGCGTACATATGAAAATACCACAACTTACAAAACGTAAATTTTAGCGTTCAATACGATGTCCCAACCTGTTGATTAAATACTGTGAATACATCGAATACCGATTCTTCGTTATTTAAACCTAATCCTATTTAATCTTATTTTTCAAAAAGATCTTCATTTTTTTTAATTAAAATAATTTGACGAATAATGCTATGTGTGTAAGTTATCGTCAGGATCCGTAAAATCGCGCGTTTTTACATTCAACAAATAATATTTCGTTTCATTACGAATGCCTTAATGTAAGAAGCGTGCTTTCGTAAGAAGCATGCTTATTTTGCGCTTCTCACGCATGTTTGGTTTCCTCTATTCAGCATATATTATATGTCAGCACAAAAATTAGCATCACATGGTGAAACGACCGGTTGTCGGCATGTTTGTAGAAAGCGGTTTCGCAAAAAAACCTATCATTTACTTTTTTACTTATGTGTCGCATGCAGAAAAAAGAAGTAGATGCAATTCCTTTGAGGCAATTTTATGTTGATGCGTTGACAAGTTTTTGAAATCCATATATATTGCCACAATTATAATAAAATTTAAATTGAGAATATATTAATTAAATAATTCCTAAATTCTTGACAGAACATTTGAGTGAATCGCAATGATCCAAATGCTCTCGTGACACTAACTAATAAACGAATTGCATTATTAGTTAAAAAAAAAAACGATTAATAACAGCGAAAAAGTTATCTCTAGCTATAAATAACAATGAACAATGAGTACATCATTTTAATATTATTTATCTATTTTTCTTGCCAGATAGTGTATTCGTGTATTTTTTATTTAGTGATAACTTTGAGGACTTTAATTCTGAGATCATAGTTATATTTAACGTAATACTTGCAACAAATAAAAGTAAACAACTATATATATGTCATTGTTTTTTTATTTCTTATTAATTATTGAAAAAATCGACGATTCATGCATCGTCATCGACAATCATTAATGTTAATAAATGCCACTAAGGTTTTTAACAAGTTTTGTCTATTTTAATAATTTTAGCAAGAAAATGGCCAATGTAATGCTAAAAGATTTGATAAGCACTTTTACTTTTGTAAACTTGATAAACTTGTAAGGAATTATTAGAATTTGAAATAAAATTCGCATAAACACAATGTAGATGCATTTTACGATACTGCGACAGAGTTCTAACCAATATTACGGCCTTGCCAGTCAACTTTGTAAGAACAATTTTCGAAGACCAAGACTGTAAAAGTCAAATTTTGCGCCATTATTGGCGGCAGTTCAGTCGCGGATGAGCGACAGTTCGCATGCGTTTTTCACTCCTATTGGCTGTCAAGGCGGCGCTGTCATATGATGAAGCTGCATGGCATGACGGGACGGCGGATCGCGATTTTGCAACATGGCGGTGAAGTGAGGGCGAAGTCGCGGGTGCTGTGCCATCGGAAAATGTACTTTTCCTAGTCGCCCGTAGCGATTTCGTCGTTACCTCGCAGTCACGCGCGATAGTGTAATACGTGTTCGAGTGGTGATCGGAGTCGGGCCGTCGACGACAACGCGGTGTAAATATGAGCGAGACGGCCGGCAGCAGCGCGGCGACGAAGGTGACACCCTGCGGCACCGTAAGCTGCTCGGGCACGTATGGCAGCGACTAGGATCCGCGATAAGGGAGACCCGCTTTTGTCCGAGCGAGAGCGAGTCGCGGCAGCCGCCCAGCCAGCAGCACCAAGTAGCAACGCGATGTTGTGGCCAGCTCTGCCGAACTGTGAGAACGTGAGTGTCCTGTGCGCCGCTTGCTCCGCTTGGAGCGTGGAGCCGATCCACGTTCCGCGTGGCGCGTGTGCCGATCGTAATCGTGGGCTCTTAATTCACGGCGGAGAATGCGGGAGCCAAGATCCGAGATATCCCCGGGGGATCGGCGAGCTGCGGCGCGACGAGACGAAGCGCGACGCGCCGCCCGCATCCGCCGTCCTTCCATCCGTCCGCTTCCCGGAGAATCCCAGAGAGCGGTTGCACACGCCGTCGAGATAATCCTGCGCTGCTCCGAGCGCAGCGGCAATCGCGTCGTGTGCCGCGAGATCGTCCATCGCCGAAGACGTAATGTAATTTGCGGGGCGAGCAGCTCGCAACGAGCGCACCACCATTGTCTGCGAACGCCAGTTGATCGCACGTATCGTCGCTTCTCGGCGAGCATGCCCCGCGTATCGCTCGCCCCGCTGTCATTGCGGCTGCCTGATCGCGACGACGATGAGCTCATCGTCGTCGCCGTCGTCGTCGGGAAACACTCGCCTACGTGCGTTCCGCCCGCATTCCGATTCCCTTTCCTCGTCGCCGAATGCGCGAATGACACATTCCTCCTTAAACGGCGATTCTTTAGCGACTCGCTTACCGATGTACCGAGAAGTTGATCTCTGGTCGGTCTCGGTAAATGTCGATGTAGCGATGCTCCAAAAATATACCGCATGTCTGACGACGATCTAAATGCATCGCGGATAGCAAATCCCGATACTGTCGCGGATTTATGGATGCTCAATAAACGTCGAACGTCGGTTATTTGCAAATACAGTCTGTTGGTTGTTGACAAGTTGTGAGATTGTCGAGATATTTGTTTCAACTTTGCCTGCATGCATTATCATTTTGTTTTTACTTGTTAATGAATTATGAATAAAATTAGTATTGAAGGCATTGCATAACAAAACTGACAATCGTAATATTTAATTTTACTGTGCCTTTTATGTGGGACGTTGAGCCAGTTATGAAATAATCAGCGGACACGACTGGAAACCACGGAACAAATTTAGAAGAATTTCCCATATTTTTTTCTTGTTTTTTTATCAAGAATTAGAATCTTGTCAGTTGCGCGAAGATTTATGGAACATTCATATAATTTGCTATTTAAAACAGTGGTTATATTTAAAACACAGTTACTTTTAAAAATTGTAATGTTATCACGAATGAATATCTCATGAATTTTAAACACATTAATGACCGCTATAAATTTGCTACTAATACTTATTGAAATATTGAATTTCTGCATATCTACCGTGAAATGAGGTCGCAGCTGCACCCAAATAATCTCATTTGCATACAATAAGGTGTCCTAAATGCCCTAAATGCTTTCAAAGAATATTTGTGTTATCTTCAATTTGAAAAACATATTACACACTTGTTGCAACTACGTATATAGCAGACGTACAAAGAACACATTATTTCTGTCCATTTTTACAAATAAAAAAATAAATAAATCTAAGGATATTTATATTCTACTGATAAATGTATTCTGTATTTTCAGATATATGTGAGAGATAGAAGCTGCATCAGTTACTGTGATTTCTGATCGTACATGCGTGCCAAATACAAAGATATAAGAGGGCGTTAAGAAAAGAACCAATGGTTTCCTGACATGATGGAAGGCAAATTATATGTGAAGAATGAGCCGGGACTTGAGGGGCAATCGCTCACCAATCCGCAGCCCAATCCTGCCGTTGAGGACGGCGGGGGAGCGAGGATCTGCTTCGTCTGTGGCGCCGTGGGCCACAACGAGCAGCATTGGTTACGAGTGAAACCAAGCCCGGGCGGTGCGCCCAATGAACCCTACTTCCCGTTTCTCGAGTCGCACGAGCCGCCTAATGGCTATCGCGGCGAGGGTGCCAGAAGCGGCGCTGTCAAAGCATGCAACCTCTGTTACATTCTGCTGCTTCAGCAATGGGAAAGCTACGAGCGAGAGGCTAGGCCGCACAGTCAACGGATCTATTGGCTGAAGAGATGCGACGGCGGCCCGTTCACGGGGGCCGAGATGGCACTCCAGGGCGAGTACGCCGCCCAGGTGCTGGGCTTGACGAACGATCAGGCGCCGCAGATCAGACAGGAAAGTCGGCCGGTCGGCATCTCGCCGCGATTGCCACCGAACTCACCCTCGCCGCGCGTCGAGCAGACCAGACCGCCGTCGAATTCGGTCGAGCTGCCGAGGCCGCATTCCAACACGGCGGAAACTCACAGGCACTTGGAACAAGCGAGGCTCACGATGGAATCGCCCCACCATAGACTGCAGTCACCTCACCAAAGGCTGCAGAGCCCGCGGCAACCTGTCGAAGACGCTAGAGTATCCAATGAGACGGCGCTGGATCTGAGACATGCACCCAGAAGCTCACCTGCACCACAACCCACCTTACCACAAACTCCAGGTCATAATCACTTTCCGCGATGATTAACACTTCCCTGCTTCAATTTTATGAAACTCGTCAAATATATATTTGACCAGAGCTTCTTAGCACAATAAATGTAGGCATTAATCCACATCTAGTTTGTGTTAGGTGTCCAAAGGTGCGTATTTTGTATTTATTTTATTTGTCCAATTTATTTTTTTTTTTTTTAGAATTTTTTTGAAAGACTGTTAAATGTGAAGATATTTGGCTACTTGGCACATGCTCGTAAGTATTGATATTCAAAATTGATAGATACTTATTTTATTGTGTGAGAAAATTATTAGTATTAATAATTTTTGTATTTTTGTTTATTTTTTTTAATAAATTACTATTTAATCTTTTTAATAAATTATTTTAGATAATTATATTGCTGCGTGCCGATAAGTATTAATCGGTCTTTAAACAAATATATACATAGAACAGGACGAGGATAACTGTACATCGGAATCCTCCTAATTATTAAATTGACCCGGCGAGTTTAATTGGATCTTTATCTGAGGTCAACCGACTGTCTTTACTCGTAACTTGAAGAGAATCAAAGAATGCTCTGTTTGTTATACAGGGTGTTCGGTAAATCGTGGTATAATTGGCGAAGAAATTATTCCTCACAAAAGTAAAATTATTCCTCACAAAAGTAAAAAGTAATAAGTAAAATATTAAAAATGAAACTTTTTTATATTATTAGCATGCTTTTTGAGGAAGGCAATTTTGATTGTGAGAATATTCGGTAGTGTATTGATATTTTTGATTAGCAAAACATTTATTTTGCTGAGAATGTATATTTAAATAACACAAATATTGATTCTGAATTAATAAGATACGGATTACGTCGATGATTGTACCACAATTTATTAGATATGCTGTTTAAAAGATACTGTTATCAGTGTATGCTTAGATCACGATTGCTCAGTCGACGATACGATAAAAGGAAAAATATCTAAAATGGTGTACTCTTTAAGATATTTTATTATTTTAATGCTTAAAGTATACACACTCGACGAAATGAGTTGAACGTAAAATCACGAAACACTATCTGATAGCATAAAAGCTGTTTTTCACCAGCTATTACCAGTTATCTCGCTTTAGACAGTGTAAGCGGCAAACATACGAATCGGGTCGCTATTTACACTGGCCTTAGTCCTTTCGTGCACCAATGTAAACGTTTGAAAGTAAAGGTTAACAGTTTCGCAGATAAGACGTATGTGGAAGTCGTGCCGAAGAGTCGTCCGATTCATTCAACGCGCACGTCCGATCTGAGTGGCGATTCCGAGCAATTTCCCTCCCGCTCGTCGCCCGCGCTCGTCGTATATTGAGCTTCGGTGACCTCTACAATTTCGATCCGCCCGATCTGATATTCATTAGTCAGCGTGTGCCCCGACAGATAACCGGGTCGTTTCGAAATAGAGCCATCGAAATATACTGTGTTTCGTCGCGTTGAACGCGAAACTGCGAAACCGTCGTATTTGGATGTGGCGTAGCGATAACCCCCGTGAAAAATGCAGGCTCTAAGTGGGCCACGTGCAGCGCGATGATAATAACGAAGGCGTGTGAGATTCGCGGGACAGCTTGGGACGCCAGTTGCGTCGTAGTATCGATGGATTTTACGCGTCAGTCGCGTGTGCACGTAACGTTTTGCCGACGATGAACGATCTGCGTGACGGATCGTTTGACGTGATTGCAGCTATCTACAGCGGCGGATCGTCGTCCAGCGTCGGCACGGACATCCTGGATCTATCGATGCCGGACAAGAATTCGGTTACCGAAGTCTGTTACGTGTGCGGTGACGAGTTCAAGAGGGGATCCCTCAGCCACATCGCTGCGAAGCCACTGCCAACTCCGCCGCATCCTGCTTCCAGTCCCCCGCCGTTCTTTCCTTCACTGATGCTTCATCCCAGGCCGAGCAGAAGTCGACCGATGGACAGTGCTGGTCGAGTGCAGGTACACATTCCCAAGACACATGTGTTTTTTTGTTGACATACGCGCCAATCATATCTCCGAGGCTTCCGTAATTTATCACGTTGATTTTTTTCAGGCCTGCTCAGCGTGCCAGAATCATCTTTTGTTACAATGGAAAGCGTATACGCGGCAGGGAGTACCGCACGGTGATAGAAATTATACGCTTCGCAAGCGGCAGGCGCCCGCAGTGGATACGACAACGTTTATCTGCTACACTTGCGCTCTCGAGTACCCTTCATCCAGTATTAGACTTCTATATTGCTGTCCTAATCCAGAGAAGGAGGCGTACTTCCCTTTTATTTATTCTCTGAGACCTCCGCAGGGAGCTAGTCCTATTAGTCCTCAGGGAATGGTGCAGGTTTGCTCCATTTGTTATAAAGCTATCCCGCAAAAGCAGCAAGTGTTCGGCGGGGAGAATCATGAGGCGCAGCCAGCCGGGCAGAGTGCAGATTTTCGCCAACAAGGTTCGTTGATGCCGAGGAAAGAGCGTTTACATTCTGTTTCATCATTAGGACGTTTCGTGCCTGACCAAGTGCTTTTCTTGCAGGTCCTTCACCACGGCCGGCTGTTCCGAAATCCCCGGCTAATTCAGCTGGTAGCGATATTCGCTTTAAGCCATACGACTTGAACAAGTCGACAGTTGCTACGAACAAGCAGCGTAGCAGCAGCACTACTACTACTACCGTAAAAGCTCCCACGCCTGGGCAACGAAATTCACCCAGCAATGGTCCCGCGGAAAATGGAACCGTCGTGCTTGCCCAAAACTATAGGTGCTATATCTGTGAGAGATTGTATCCTCGTAATCATATGGAGTGGTGAGTCCTCGCGTAATAATCTATCGTCGGGATTCCGAGCGTGGATAATTTCATTGCGAGATATCGATAATGTTACGTTTTACTCCCGTTATCAGGTTATCTACAAGCCCAGAAGGAATGAATTCGCACGCTATGCATTTTCCTTGTTTGAGAGGAATGGCACGCACGTCTGAAAACGCCTGCATGGATAGCCATGGGAGAGTATTAGCGTGTAGTCACTGTGTGAATCATCTTGCGCAACAGTGGGAAAGTATGGACGCTGAACGGGTTCCTTTAGAACGCCGCAGGTTAGTTTGCCGCGAATTACATTAGCTATTATTCTTAAACGATTTGCATATATTACGCGAGTTAATAGTGAAGCAAAAAGCGTTTCGCGCGTTGAATAAAATAACTTCTATGATATATCTATCGTCTAATCTTTGTGTAAAAGATGTTAGAAACGTTTGACAGTCGTATAATTTTCTTCAAATAATTTATGCGTGAAAACTTAAGAAACAAGTCATTTGCATATTGTATTTGCATATTATGAAATATTTGTTGTACTTTGATATTAAAATGTTTGTAAAAAATTAAAGGAGTTAATTAATTAATTAATTAATTAAATTAATTTAAATTATTAATTTATCTTTTAAATTTTCAGGTATGATATTCCTAGTCCACATCCAAATGGCGATGTGAATCGGTCAATCGCCACGCCACCGAGCTCCAGTTCAGATCGAACGTTCGGAAGCAATCCAGGCACGTCGAGCAGCTCGATCTATTGTTTCCTATGTGGTTTACACAGTGACTTCACCCTCGCTAGAGTTTTGTACAGTCGTCCTCAAGGCCGAAACGCGCCATTCTTCCCGGAACTGTTGCGTCACCAATCGCCACCGAATGCCGAGCAGCTCCGCGAGGACGGCTCCGCCCTGGTCTGCACATTTTGTTACCATTCATTGTTGGCGCAATGGCGCCGATACGAATCTCTTTCCGGTGGTCAGCAAGTGAACGCCGCCGAACGGCAGTACAACACCCACGACTATTGCTGTTACGTCTGCGGTATCACGACGTATAGAAAACGGGTGCGGGCACTGCCGGTGAAGGACTTTCCGTTCTTGAGGTATCACAAACAGCCGGAAAAGAGTCTGCTGTTGGAGAACGGCGATTTCGCGGTGGTCTGCTTGGACTGCTACGAGACACTGCGTACGCAGAGTCTCGAGTACGAGAGATGGGGCCTGCCTGTCGAGAAACGAGAGTACAATTGGATCGTGCAACCTCCACCGCCCGAAGACAGTCCCGACGCGACCATAGCCAGGTTACCGTCCGGCGAAAGATCCGAGAAAGTGGTGAGTACATCGTGGTTTGCGAAACAGATGACGTAACGTGCGATAATGAGCGATAAGATCTGTTATGCGTCGAACAAGAACAGATTACAGCAGCTATCTGTTTATGTTTGATATATAGGTTCCACCGACGTTGACGGTCAGGCCAGCGCGAAAGAACTGCTCGCCAAAGGCACCCGATAAAAAGGCACCGACAAAAATTCCGGAGAAGGAACAAGGTAAGTGAGCGAGATAAGATTGAGCTTCGAATTAAGCGCGCTTACTATGCAATGAGTCTCGTTTCGTACGTAATGCGACGTAAGAAGAAGAAAAAAATATTTCCAACGCTTTTCAATTTCTAGCAATGAGATACGATCGTAGAATTTTTATGCTATTTCACAGTTTATATAAGACGTTTACTACTTGAAACATTTTTAAAAGTAAGCTCGGCAAGTCGTGAACTTTTCTCACTGCACGGTAATGCACCTGGCTAGTACTTCTTAATTAAAGGATCAACAAGAACTCTTGGGAAGCGTTTTCTCCTGGTTTCGGTAATTGAGAAGCACTTCCGTTACTTAGATAATACCGAGTTGACTTTTATCCGACTCGTACTTTTTTAAATTGAAACAATTTTGCTGCGAAGCGTGCGAAACAGTTAATCTCTGTTAATCTTCTCGTTCTAAGTTCTTTTTTATTCGCACATCTCTAGTTTAAACTATGTGCGAAACTCTACAGATATTTAATTTCACGTTAAATATTTTAAAATCACGAAAAATTTCTCAAAATATCAGCATTTGTTAGATTTCTTTAAAGACAGTTTGTGCTCATATTCTTGCCGTCGCTTTTCCACTTAAAGATACGCGCAACGAGATTCTAGCCAAGACATTTGCTTCTTTTCAATTGGAAACTTGCTCGTAAAAGCTAAATGCATAAGTTTTACTCGATGTTTTTGAAACACGAATCAGACAGATAAACGTAATTAACTCCAATTTAATTAATTTCTTAATTAATGGCACTTTTGCTTCACGAATTCCATCGGCAAAGATATTATTTCTTACTTTAAAGTGAAATCCGATTAATAAAGCGGAGATTATGTCGATGGCGCTGAAACGGACGATAATGTCTTCTGATCTCGCTTTTCTGTACGTCTAAAGTATGGCAAATATATATATATATATATATATATATATATATATATATACTAATAGAAATATATATATATACACGCGCGTATTTGTACAAAGACTCGGCGGGGCGTAAGATGGAAGGCAAGCGAGACGAAGGGTGAGTGGATGAGACGTGAGTGGTGCTCTTAAAAATCCGACAGACAAAAGGAGACTGACTGTGGAGAGCTATCCGGGAACACGGGCTCTGATGGTTTGCGTTCCAACGAGTTTTCGCTGCTTTTTTCCATCACCCTTCTGATCCTCTCTTTTTCCCTCGTTTAGCTCTTTTTTTTCCGTATCTTCGCGAATCTTCTCCCAGTGTCTTGAGTTACGAGCGGCAAAATATCTTTCTCAACGAAATGTCTTACCGTCACTCGGCTCTGCGAATATTATATCTCGCAATTAAATCTCGCCAACTTTTTTCTTAAAGCGATACGATAGATTACACAATGCTTAAACGATAATTTATACGGGTATTTATATATATATATATATATATGTATATATTACAATCAAATGAGAATCAAGACTTAAATCAAGGCAGAAATATCACGCGCGATGTTTCTTTATATTTTTATTCGTCGACGCCGTGTACATTCACTCGAGAAAAGCTCATCGCGAAAGATTCCCTCGCGGCTTCGTTGCTGTTAGCCCGTAACACTTTTGCTTCGTTCTTTTCTTTTTTTGTCCTGACTTACCGTCGGCGTGTACGTCCCTCTAACACGGAGGGAGACGCGTCTCTTCGAGTTTATGCCGTTGGACGCGTGAGACCACCGTGCAAACCTGCCATATAGGAGTCGTAAACTTGCACTCGAGCGGGCCGTCGAAGCCACCTTTTTTAATACGGCCGAGACAAGCTTGTAAAAAAATGTATTACCGAATGACCTTTTTGTACAGACTGTTCCCGCATTTTTTTATCTACGAATTCTCTACTTAATTCAGCATTAACGTTCCTGTAAAAAAATTTCCCATTCTAGAAATTTCAGTTATTTAGATTTCACGACGAAATTTGACGACAGAAATTTACTGAGAAGCAAAAGAATCTGCAGAATTTTGATTTGTTTTTACATCGATTTGTTGAAGTAGAAATGTGAATATTTCATCTATTCATCGGAAGCGCTGCGAAATACGTTGGAAATTTTACTATTTAAGAAACGAAATGTTTCAGCACTATTATAAATTTATACATCCGAGTGCTCTGCATGACCCTTCCAGGATACTTACGCATCGTTATCGTATATACGCGATAACAATGTCTGTGGAAAATTGGTAAAAGGGCGAACGATTGCTCCATTTCGGATTTCCGTTCCATAAAACTTTCGCGTCGAGGCGCGGTATAAAATCGAACGATACACCTGACGTTATTGAAGGCACTTGCGTTGTCACGTTCTTAATACCTATAATTTATCGCGTATCGCCGAAAATTATAGCTTGCGCAAAATGACGTCCCTCTTAGGCGTTTATGGTATGGCACGCTTCGAGTTCTCATACATCTTTGAATAATGAACGCGTTTAGCGAATTGGACGAAAATTGGATTAATCTTTCACCATTTAATCGGCTATTTACTATTCTTTTGCGGCCTTTGAGCTTTCTATTTCAAATATTAATCAGCTTGCACGCCGCAAATATTTAATCACGATTTCAATTGAAAACATTAAGAATTCTTTCGTCTTGCGCTAAACTTATTCGATTTTATTTCGAACACGGAACTTTGATTAACGCACGTGGATTGAACTACATTTTTCAAGTGATTTCGTCACAATACATACGCTGTGAAAAATTAGTGCAAAATTACAGCTGTTGTATAGGATATAATTTTGTGACCAACTATTACAAGTGTGAATTTCCACGCGTGTGCAAATTCGCAGCTTGCGGTGTGAAATAAATTTCTGGTGTTGCAATGCAACAGATTGCGCAAGTAAATTTAGAGTTATTTTCTAAATATATTTACTTATGCAATTTGCTTCGCGGCAAAACTAGAAATTCTACTTTCCACAAGCTGTAAATTTACATACGCGCGGAAATTTACAACAGTCTGCTGCAAAATTGCCCGCCATAATTGTTGTAATTTTACAGTAATGCTTTTACGGTGTATGTCGTACGGGTAACTAAATCACCGACAGGAATTCACCGTGGATTCTCGACGGTAAATTGCGGCGACGGGAGTTGCCCGCGACAAAGCGGAGAAAAGCTCCGAAAAAAAAAAAAGTAAAACAAGAAAACGTAGAAGTCGTTGGTAACTCCAGTATCGCGCCCTCCCCGACTCCCGTGGGACGACGGGTGGAAGGAAGTGCGCGCAGGTAGATATAATACGATCGTCGAGATCAGGAGGTCGATTAAGGTCGGTCGATCTGGCTTAGAGGATGCGGGGGGGAGGAGGGTTGGTTCCCGAGGTGTCGGGTAAGACTTAGCGGAGGACTTAGCGGGCGAGGGAGCTTGCGCTCGCGAATGGAGCAAGCGTGGGTTGAGACGCGTTAGGAGGAGGGTGAAGTGTAGCACACTGTGGGCATAAAGAAGGCGCGGAGGGCGGCGGGGCGACGGTGGCGGCGGGGTTGTCGGGCGAGAGAAGGAGAAAGAGCAAACGCCCGCAGCGTGACACCGCATTGCGCCCACTTGCCAACCCGCCCAACACCTAAATTCGAATTAGGGAGCCAGCCCCGTCGTTTCTCGTCAACACGCCTGCCGTCCTCCCTCCCTCCCCCTCCTCCTCACCCGTCGTTTCGTGCTCCCTGCTCCTCCGCGACTCATCCTCGCCCATCGACCCTCTTCACGGTAAACGTACGGGGCGAGATGTCAGCCCTCTCACCCCGTCCGTCTGCGTACACAGCGTCCATCTGCGACCCTCCTCGCGTTCCCTCTTACTTACGGAGAGCAATCAGCGGGAGTGAGCGCTCGCCGGAGCGTGTGCCCTGTCGTCCTCCTGCGGGAATCGATATCAATGTCATCAACGGCTCGCCTCTCTCGCGCGTTCCTTATCCCTCGATAACCAACGCTAGTCCGGCACGCGGCCAAAAGGCTCGATTTCACTCGTGTATCCGCCGCCTTGCCGCCCGCCCGCCGTCTCGCGGAATCCGTGCCAAGGCGCGACCCGTTCGACCCTCCCGCGACCCTCCCCTCCGGATGTCGCTTATTCCGCCGTCGATATTCGATGCGAGCGTATCGCGATCGCTAAAATTGAATGACCGAAATGAAAACAACGTCGGTTTAATTAATTTCGAGCGAAAGAAATTATTCAGCTGAAATTTGCGAATTAAAATACATTGGTGCGAAAATGTTAAATAAATAAATCGGGAGGGAAAAAGGACGAGTCATTTGAACTTTCGAACAAGAACCGCGTGAATGAGTGAACGTTCTGCGCGGAAATAATTGGGAGAGAAGAGGTTAGGTTTACAACACTGTTAAATATTTCTGAGGACACATTGTTTTCTGGATGTTGAATGGATTAAGTTCAAGCCGCTGATGTCGCGGTTCAATCGGATATCCGCGTTTAGATCGCAAGCAAATGCCGCGAACTCGTGTAGCGAGATGTTGCTCGCAACGTGCCTCTTAACGAAGCCTGCTTCTGGCTCGGCGCGTGTTAATAATTAACCGACTGCTTAGAAGCGTTCTCGGCGACGCTGGCAGGCGGCTCCACGGCTCGTTTCACCTCGAACAAACCTTCTTTCCGGCGAGCTTCCCCTCTCTCTCTCTCTCTGCCTTCTTGCACGGCCGCTCCTTCTCTCACTTCGATCCGTCTGTCAAAGCGAGTCTGCGAGCCCGGTTAACTATTCTTTTTTACGGAATGATGTTTCCCTCTGCTATCGGTTGCATTTAGCTTTTGCCGTTGCTCGCGCGGAAGTGTATCGAGCAATTATTTAGTTCACTAGTTAATTAATGAAGCAAAAATCCGAGAGCAGCAGTCTAAAAATACAGTACATCTATCGCTCACGGCACATCATTTTTAACATGTACAATATTTTCTCATAAATTATGCATAAAAATGTAAAGAAAAAGAAAAAAAAAAGAAAAATAGTGGTCGGAGGGTGGCTACAATTCTTTCGATCAAGCTTCGGAGCGAATTGCTCGGGACACT